CTGTAGCTTTTACAAGTTTCCCAAGGGGATTCTTAAATACACCAGAGTGAGAACCACTGCCCCGGAGCAATGGCCTTTAGACTTTTTCTTTTTGCTTGTATGTTTCTAAAAGAATTTTGAAAAACTAGGTATCATTTTACATGGTTTATAAGTTGACATCTAACATTTCTTATTGTAAGTTTAAGTAGTTACAAAACAAAATTTCTGGTTTATTGTAATATTTATGTTTTAAAATAAATCTTTTATATCACTTTAAAATATATACAATGAACTTAAAAAACCCATATTCAATAAATCTAACTACATAAGCAGTCAAATTTTTTACATTTTCTCCTTAAATTGGTGTTTTCATCCCACTTCCTCCACAGAACTTTATTCAAATGCAATGTATGTATGCTTGGAAGTCATTTTTTAAATCAGTTTATCAATCTTCTCTACAAAATGTGTATGAAGATTGAAACTTTTTTTTCAGTGACCTTAAGGTTCTAAGTGTTAAAATTTCTTCAGAATTGCATTCGCATTATAATTATTAGTAGTACACAAATGACAAAACACATATTTTCATAAATAATTTTTATGTATAACTAATTATTTTGGAAATGCTTCTATTAATTATATGGGTAGACTCCCCTCTCCCCCCCCCCCCCCATAATTTTTATGTATAACTAATTATTTTGGAAATACTCCTATTAATTATATGGGTAGACTCCCCTCCCCCCCCATTTAGTTTATGTACTCATACATGAATACTGAATACTACTTATCTCTAGAATAAGACAGGCTTCAGCATTTAATTTCATTCATCATTTTTGCTTTACATATAACACTCACTGAAAACTTTTGACACAAATAAGTAAATAGAAATGGAAGGTGTTTTGTTATAGTAGTGTTACTCAAATCCTTTAATTCCTTCTGAATTATAAGCCAAAACACATATAGTAAGTTATCATCAAAATTTATTTTTAATAAATTTAAGCTGACAATATGATTAGGTCATCTTTCAATTTTTTTGAAAGCAAAGAATTGGAAACTACCTAACCTGCAAAAGAATTTTTAGTCTAGTCGTTAACAATCACTCTGTTTAACACCAACACTCTGAATTGCGGTTAGTTTAACGCCCTAGTTTTGTACACACCCCCAAAGCAAATTACTGAAGTAAGATAAATAAATTACTCAAGTAGAATTTCAGATGGTTGAAAGCTATTGCATTTTAACAAGTGGGAAAAGAGTGACTAGGAAAGGGGAGTTAGGAAAAGAGGCCAAAGGGCATTTTCAGGCAGACCCATTTTAGCAAAAAATACGAAAAGTGCTTGTGGAAATTGAGGATCCAGCAAAAGATTCCCTGAAAACTACCCTTGCTTCCATATTTCTTGAAAACTCTTTGTAAAAGATCACATATCTAAGTTTGAAATCATTTTACTAAGTATTTGGATACATTAAGAGAATGCATTACTTTCAAAAAGACCTCAACAATAAGAGAGAATTAAAGAGTACCAAAATGTATCTCAGTCTTCTTAACTACCTGGATTCACTCCACATGTAGATGCACCCTGGCTTGGGACAGCTACAGCAAGGGTTAAGATGAAACAGATGACAAAATGGTCATAATAAACAGCACAGGGAAATGTGGGTGATCTTTAAGAGCCTACAAGTTTTACTATTATGAGTTTGCCAGCACATCTCACCTTATGTTAGTTAATGGAATTCTTACAATCTCCTCAAGGGTTGAACTGACTCTGGGTCAGAAAGACCAGAAGGCCCTCATTCTGTGAATTTGTTGCCACAACCAAAGCTGGGGGAGGCGAAGACAGAGAAGCCTCTCCCCACCACCTTCTCTCTTTAATATGAAAATAATTGCTTCTACTCTTGGAGACCTGGCTTAATTAGACTAATCTGATTTTCTGGTGGTAAAGCTAACATTAAAATGCTATTGCTCTGAGTGCTCTAATTATAGAGCAATCATGCTTTTTCTTAACGGATACTAAATTCAAATGCCATAATGTTGGATGAGGTCATTGTGAATAGGTCTATTTTGAGGTACCACATGAATTTCAGGGACGATTATGCAGTGACAGAAAGTTTTATTTCAGAAAAAAAAAAAGAATTGCTACTACAATTAATCTAAACACATAAGGTTCCACAAGTTATTTCCTGTTATGATCCCTGACTATAACACCTGTTCTTCCATCCCAAACTCTTCAAACTCAACCCCTTCCTGACTTCTCCTCTTAGCTACCCACTTCTTCATTTTCTTTCCTGCATAGTCTGAATGTGATGTTCAACCTTTTGATGGATACTCTGACCAACACTCTCAGCCCTCTTACTCTCTTAAACTTCTGCCTATCCATTCTGCCAAGATGCAGCTCAGAGTCAAACAACCATCTGTTCTCTCTACTACTGCTTCTAGTTTGCCAAGCACTGCTGGAGAAATTGTATAACTGCTGATTCATGCCATGACAAATCTGCAGTTCCCAAACTCACCTTGACCTTTAACACTACTTGGCAATCCTTTCACTCGTTTGATTGGCTTCCTTTGCCACCAATAGCGCAGGTGCTATTCCAAACCTCAGGTCATTACTCTTTCAAAGTTTCTTACTATGCTTCCTCAATTAATAGACGACCTACCATTTTACTTCAGGAAAAACTGGTGTTTAACTTCCCTTCTTTCTACTTGCAATGGACAACTATAGCTTCACCCTCCCTCCTTGTGTCCCAGAGTTAATGTAATGTATCAATGATCCCCTGTTAATACTTTTTAAATATCTTAAAGTCTGTATATATTATCAAAAGTCACTCTTTTTGTAAGTCATATTCTACGTTGAAGAAGTGGCCATCAGAATGTTAGGAAATAAAAGGAGCTGATTGGCTACAGCAAAGAGCACATCAGAATAGCAAGTGTTCTTCCACTTTCAATCATTCACAAGCAAGGACAGAAAGGAAGGTGAGTTGGGATGCTGCCTGCCTGTTAAATGTTTTAAAATTCTAACATATTTCTGCCAACCAAATGTCACAGCATGAAAATTAAAGAGGTCACACTTTAGTGATCAATGTCATTTTTTGTCCTCTACTGTTTGCTTCCACACCACATCTACAGTCTAAAAAGCTAATCATAATAATAATTAGACCACTTAGTTCCTTCTTTTGACCGTGTGGAGTTGGCTTACCCTGATTCGATCCAAACTTTTCATGGGAACTCCTAGGGTAACCAAGTGAATTATATTATGCTTTACCTGATATGGCTGTTCTAATTTAATGTCATATTACATTAGCTATCATACAAAACTTACAAGTGACATATATATGCTTTAGAAAAAGTATTTATAGAGATTGCCTAATGAGAAGTGTTGATGTACTAGTAAAATATACTTAGGAGAGATATATGCATCATATCTAATCAGGAGCAGATCCAGGTTTTGTGGGACCCTGAAGTGTATATAATTTGGAGAGAGCTCTCTTTCCAAAAAAGAATACAAAATTACGAATTCAAAATGAGATAAAGGGCCTTTGGTAAAGTTCTGTTAAAATGAAGGGCTCTAAAGCTTAAGCTTTGTTACTGTCATATAAATCAGCTTTTTTTTGTATTTGACACAAAAAAAACTCAAAATGCACTAAAATATAAACATCCAACATGAATCAGGAACATTACTTAATACTATATTTCATTCTCATAATAAACGTTTTTATTTACCATTCTCATTTTCATTAAAGTACTAACTGAGACTTAGAGAAGTTAGTAACTTACAGCTCAGGGCTCAGAGTGAAAGTGAGATTCAAACCAAAACCTGGCAAACTAAAACTTGTGTTATTTTAAATAAATAAATATAGATAGATATAGGTAGATATAGATGTAGATATAGATATAGAGATATAGAGATATGTTTTTATTGATTTCAGAGAGAAGAAGGGAGAGGGCACAAGGGATAGAAACATCCATGATGAGAATCATTGATCAGCTACCTCCTGCACGCCCCCTACTGGGGATAGAGCCCACAACCTGGGCTTGTGCCCTGAGCGGGAATCAAACAGTAATCTCCTGGTTCATGGGTCCAATCTTGTGTTATTTTACTGCAATACTCTGCTTTTAAGGTTTCCCGAAAGACAAAGGGTTTAAGTTAATTTGAAGACTGCCCCTAGAAAATGCTTGGAAATGTTCAGTTAATACTTGAAAATGACATAACCTAATTCACATTTGAGAACATCACTAAAATTACTGTCCTAAAACTGTGTTTAAAGGGCATGAAGAAATAAATATATAACTCTTTGGGTTATCTTCTGCTCATTAAGTGACATAAATAAAGACAGAAAATCTTAGGGTCTAGGAGAAATGTGGTTCTGATAAGGAAAGAAAAATGGAGGCAGAATCAGAATCTGGAGTTAAGTCTAGAATTACAGCCTCTCAGGAAAAAGCCTGGCTAAGGAAGGACATACTGACAGTATGGATCTTTCACAAATTATATCCTCTTGCTACATGTCCAATATTAATCCACCTTCCCATTGAGATATTTCAAGTTTTAAAAATAAGAAAATAGTTACATTTGCCAAATATATACTACTACTCAATATTACATCTGTACCTTATATTTTCCAGTTTGGCCTCTATTTTTAGAAAATGTCTCTTAGAGGCCTCTCTTCCTCCTAGGATCCCCCAGAAGGTAGATAGATGCTTTGTCTTTATCTTTTCTTCACCCTCAGTATCCAGGACTGTGCCCTACAGATAGTAGGGATTCCATGGAGGTTAACTGCCATGGAAGATGGTGTTGATGAGTTATTTTTGATAGGCTGCCATTTTCTACCACATTAGGAATTCCATAATATAGATGTTCTATGACTATATGATTTAATCAAAGACTTCCGAATAAAACTTTTTGGCATTAGCTAAAGCTAAGGCAAGAACTTACCAGATGTAGTTAATAGTATTTTTAGTCAACAAACTGTCATTGATGTTGGAGTTACTTAAAAGACCTGTTGATTCTGTGGTCTTGGGACCATTGTGACCTCAAGCTGCAGCTAAAACCAGTCCAATGCAGCAGGAGTTTCAAGAACAGCAGCACAAAAATGATGACAACTGAATGGAACAAGAAGGCACATATTTTCAAGAAAACCTCTTTATTCTTAAAGTAGAAGTTTCCCTTCAAGATGACAAGTAGTTCAGACTCTCCAGGTTCTCACTTATCCCCCAAAACAAGGTGAGTGAGTCTTTGACCAAAGATGCTAAGTGATAATTATCCAGTAGGGAAAAAGAGAGTTTCTATTAACCCAGACTAAATGCAGACACTATGGTGTCTCTTCCCACAGAAGTTCTAAAATAGATTGCAACTTCTTGAAGGAATTGAATGAGGACTTAAAACTAAGAAAACTGGAACTTCTAGAGCTGCTAACACCGCTTGAAGATAAGAACAACCCCTTATTCCAAAAGTTAATGTCTAACTTGGAGGAAAAACAAAGAAGGTAATGGCTCCCTACTCAGGATTTCCTAACGGTAGAAAGCCTGGAGAAGGTTAATCCATAAGATTAACAATTATTATTTACCTGTTTAAAAAAAGGTTTAGACATTCAGCTAAAGTAGGTAAAAAAAATTTGTAACCATAAAATCAGAATGGCAAGGAATCCTTTTTTCTCTTTTAGTAAAATTAATATGACTCAGCCCTCATCTCATGGAGTTACAGTTATTACTCTTTTCCCTGGTGTATCTACCCAAGAAAAGATAAGGGCCTTTAATATCTTCAGTTTATCATGGTCACACTAATAGCGCCTTATTCGTGTTTGTGGAATCACTTTAGGATAGATGACTCTGCTCTTCCCATGCCAAGCAGTGGAATGGCAATCTTTTTAAGCATACTAGACAGTTAGGTCTTAATGCTTCACCAAGATACTCACTGTTCTTGAGACCCACCAACTCTCTATTTCCTGTCTAGTGTTGGGCAATCTCACCTTAATGGGTTTACCTTCATTCTCTACCCTTATCATAAGCATCTCAGGGAGCTCGGAATTTTGGAGAATAAGTGCCAGGTAGAAAGTTGTGGTCAAACAAACTCAGAAACTCAGACTTCTCTTGGGGCAAGAAAAAAACAAAGTCTTGCTTCTCTGCTTATAATTAGAAAGGAAAAAGTACAAGAATATAAACATTATTATTTTTTTTATATATTTTATTGACTTTTTTTACAGAGAGAAAGGGAGAGGGATAGAGAGTTAGAAACATCGATGAGAGAGAAACATCAATCAGTTGCCTCCTGCACACCTCCTACTGAGGATGTGCCCACAACCAATGTACATGCCCTTTACCGGAATCAAACCTGGGACCTTTCAGTCTACAGGTCGACGCTCTATCCACTGAGCCAACCTGGTTAGGGCAATATAAACATTATTAATGCCATTAAAGGATACCTTCTCACACAAAGACTTGCTATTGATTCAGATTTTGTTAGAAACTTCTTCATGGCTTGATTCCCTGGGGGCTACCATAAGGATATAAGTGGTTTCCCCACTAACTCAAATTTCTTTATATGGAAAAGCAAGGTGGGGGAGATGTACAGAGACAGGGTAGGGAATAATTCTTGGATTTATCCTGAAGACAACAGGTTCTTTGACTTCCTTCAAAAGAGCAAAAGTGCCCCTTCTACCCCAAAAGTCATATATCAAACATTCTTCTGATAGAGTGGGGAAGAGCCTCACTGGCTGTTGAAGACCTACGTTTTGAGCATTATAGATCACAGAATTTATTATAGAGCACACAGCTAAGGCAAATGTCAATTAGGAATGGAGTCTTCCTACTAAGACCTGCTATATCCAGAAGGACTTTCATAACTCCCATGATTTCAGCCCCCACCTCACTCCCATGGTAGAGTACTTTCTGACTGGTTGCAAAATATTAATATTATTCTTTAGGAAGTATTATGTTTTATGATGTCTCTCTCCTCCTTCTAGTCTGCAGATTATGAGACAGATCATGGCAGGGAAGGGGAGTGAAGAATCCTCAGCCCTGGAGATCATTAAGGAAGCAGAGGACATGAAGCAGAATCTAGTAAGAGGTTGATGGGCACTCTAGGGAATGGCCTCCTGATCAGAGATTGATTCCATTGATGTGGAAGGAAAGACAGAGGGTTCATCTCTAGTACCTGATGCTCTAACATTTATATATCCTTGATCTAGAAAGTCCAGGATGATCCAAAGGAAGTCAGATAAAATGTTGGGGAAAACAAGGACTAATAGCTAGCAAATATTCTATCACTTTAACTTTGTAAAAACTTCTTATCTAGTAGTCAATAAATACAAGCATATTAACCCTTCACATTTCACAAGGGATAGAAAATTCCTACCAAAATAAAATAAAATAAAAAGTTTGTTCTGAAAGTTTTATAAGATTTTTTAAAATCAACAATGTAAAAGATCTTAAAAAATAGAAATGAGTGGTTTAAGCCCCAAAGAAATTTCCATATGATCATACACCTTAAGTATTATCAGTGTGAGGAACCCATTTCTATTAATATCATACCACAATTACCATAATGAAAGTTATTCAAAATTTTTATTATTTTTTATCATAATCATCATCAAACTCATCTCTCATGTTCCTGGATTTGGGGCTAGGCTCATTGTTGCTTTCCTCTGTGGTTGACTATGTCCCTGCACTCCTTTCCCCTTATTACTTAATAATTTCTTTGAATTTCACTTTAATGATGGGAACAGACACATGTTTCTGTTTGTTTGGTTCTCCCCCCCACCCCCCAACCCTTCCCCAAAAACAGGAAAGGAAAAACAAGATGCTACGGAAAGAAATGGAGATGCTATGGAACAAGGTGTGCCTCTACGTATCTCTTGAAAGTATTGTCTTACAGACTATAATGCAAATACACTTCCCTTCCTCTGGTCCATATCCTCATTTTCTTCATGTCCCTGCTTCCACTCATGCCTCATTCTAATTCATTCTTTGCATAGCAGCCAAAGTGATATTTTTAAAACAATCAAATCATATCACTCTTCTTATGAAAACCCTTCACAGATACCTCTTATTGTGGCATATCTGGCTCAGGTCTGCCTCTCTAGTCTCCTCTCATAGAAGTCCTTCCCTCCCTCATTGTGGTTTCTCAAACATGCTAAGACTTTTCCTATCTCAAGGCTTTTGTTCTTGCTTTAGCCCTGGCCTGTAATAGTATTTTCTTATGGTTGGATCATTCTCATCCTTCAGGTCTCTGTTTAAATGTCACCTCCTCAGGGAGGCCCTCCTTGTTTACTTTATCTAAAATATGGCAACCCCCCTACAATCTATTGTGCAACCCTGTTCATGTCTTTCATAACACTTTTTATGATATAAGCTTATCATCATTATTTTTTATTATTATTTTACTTGTTTCTTGTCTCCTTGCTCTTGGAATAAGAGCTCCTCCAGTATCTTGATTGCTTTAGTTATCTCTGAATGCCTAGCACATACCACAATGCTTGGAACAGTAGACAATCAATAAATTTAAATGGCATGAATGAATGATTGAATACCTAATTCTAATTCCCCTATAATTTTGCAGCAATTGTTGCATTGTTTAAGATAACAATAGTAGGGCCTTTTTCTGGAAAACCAGACAGGTAGAAATTCTTTTGTGGACTAAGTCCTTGGTATCTGAATGCTTTTCCACAGACTATGTGACTAGAAGAGCAGATGTGTCTTGTGATAAAAACAGGTGTGTCGTGTGATTTCTGATTGCTTTTTTTTGTTTGTTTCTTTGTTTTTTGTTAATCCTCACCCGAGGATATTTTCCCATTGATTTTTAGAGAGATTAGAAGGGAAAGAGAGAAAGAAACATTGATGTGATAGAGACACATTGATTGGTTGCCTCCCACACCCACAGGGGACCAGGGATCGAGCCTGCAACCAATGTATGTGCCCTTGACCAGAAGTGATCCGAGGACCCTTCAGTTTGGGGGCCGACACTCTGTCTACTGAGCCCAATCAACCAGGGCTCTGAGTGATTTTTTAATCTCACCTTTCCACAAATAATCAGGATACCATCAAGCCTTGCATCTTATACTGAGATCCCCTCCTTCTCAGTGGCAACTACAAATCAGTTCTATGAATTGTGAGAAGTTTTAGTTCCTGAGTTCTTGAGTTTTTGTAACAGGAAATAGCCTCTTTCAAAATCCAGCTTCTCCGGATTTCCTAAGAGACTTTTTATAAGGGATGTCCAAATGACTTCGATTGTGATTGACTTTCCTTACCCATACTTTTAGACAGTGAGAATGGAGAGAGAGGAGCAGCCTGCCTAATGGTTAAGAACCCAGGCTTCAGAATCTGATAAATCTGGTTCAGATTCCAGCTCTGTATTTTCCTAGCTGTGTGATCCCCAAAAATGACTTCACCTCTCCAAGTCTCAGTTTTTTCATCTGTAAAATGGAAATAAAAATAGTCCTATAAGGATTGAATGAGAATGTTTTTAATGTAGTAGAGTAGTGTAAGTAAATAAGTAGTTTATACTAGTGATTGGTATATAATAAAGGTTCAATTAATAGTTATTATTATTATAAGATACACTCCAGGGACCAAATGGAAGGGCTTGTTCCATTCTGAACCCCCTTTGGTAGTTCACTTTTCATGTAGGGCCCTGAGAGATTGCTGACTGGCAGGAACCAAAAGCTTTAACCCATGTTGGATTTCCACTTCCCTTACTCATTCCTGCTAATTTAAAGCTTTTCCAATATGTCTCTCTGCAGACATTCAACACAGAAGAAATCAGTGATCAACAAAAAGCACCACAGATTAAAAACAAAGCAAACTTGCAGGATGGAAAGGCAAGTAGACTTCTTGGTATTTGATACTACACAACTGGAAATAGCAGTTGACAATCAGGGCTATTTTGGATAGGCAGATAGGTAAGATCTGGGCCTTTAGGATATACTGGACTTATTGTCTGCTAAGACCTTGTACTTCTTTCCTGGGGCCTCCTATTTTTTTAGCTCTCTTCTTTCACCCCAGGCTCCTGAAACCCCCTTATCACCTAGGAAGATCAAGAGTGAATTGGAGATATCATATGCAGAGAAAGTTAAGGAGATTAGGAAGGTAGTACACATTTTCTGAATGGCACTGGCTTTTAGAGCTGACAGAGTCGATATCATTAATGCAGCAGTAATATGCCTCTACTATAATGTGCTTCTGAATTGATGCAAAAATTTATAGGAGATCTGATTCCCTTTTGACGTTATATTTGAGTCAGAGTGACACTGCAGTTCTGGGAAATCATGTTAGTGAGGGCAAAGTGGGAGAAGCTGTGCCAACAATGACAGTTTCACAATAGCTGTGTGACATCAAAACACCTGTTAATCTGTTTTTGAACATTTATTTTGGTATTATGCTTGTATCTAATCTTCTCTCAGCCAATTCATTCATAGAAAATTATCCTGTTCACTTAGATTTTAACTTTTGGAGAGTGAATTGTAGGGTGAGACCAATTAAGAGGACTGTGCAGTTGAAACCAATTTGTTAGTGAATCTATGACACCATAATTTTACTCTAAAGTCTTTGTGGCATATTGAGAAAACTGATTTCTGATCTCAATTTACTTTGTCACCCAGAGGCTCTTTCTTCCACCAGGAAAAGCAACAGAGGAAAATAGAATGGGTGAGGTACCAGGAACAAGCCAACAACCTTCAGGTATTAATGTCTTCCAAGGCTAAACTCGGGGTACAGTTTCATTCATACAATATAAAGGCTTTTAGTTTCATAATGTTAAGCCTGATCCCTTTATCTCAATTACCAATTGTCCTGCTAAAAGAAATGAATGTTTCATGGGGAGACATCTGGAGAGAACTGTCTCCAGCTTCACCTTCAGTAACTTGGGGATAAATAGCATTTTTCCCTATGGTCTTGATTTTGTTCTATTTGAAACAGAAAAAAAAAATCACAAACACTTTCTTCCCAACCTTAAAAAACTAAGCGTGATAGGATCATTTTTAAACTTCTGAGTAAAAAGGATTCAGGTAATAGTGGTTTTAGAGAAGCCAGTAGTGTACGAATAGTTTTGAAAAATGTTCTCTTTGTAGAATGACTTTAATGGAAAAGTGATTGAGCTCAGAATTGAAGCCTTGAAGAACTACCAGAAGGCCAATGGTCTGAAATTATCACTATACTTACATCAGAATTTTGAGCCAAAGCAAGCATTTTTTTAAATCTTCCTGGGCCCCAAGAAGGTAGGCAAAGTTTTATAGATACATAGTTTGAGGTTTTGTTTTGTTTTACATTAGAGATCCCATTACTTGTAGAGTGATCAACATAATGTCTGGCACATAGTAAGTTAAATGTTAGTAGTGTTATAATACATTTTTATCACTATCATCATCATTATTATTATTACTCAGAAGCTCTCATACCAAGGTAAGGATTTCTCTGGAGGAAGTGAAATTTTCTTTTGTAAGAACTAATACATTATATACTTAGCATATGTAGTTAATACATAGTTGGCATTTGATAAACTAGTTTCCTCCCCATTCCCCTCCCCTCTCCTAGAAATTAAAGTAGCTTTATCTCATGAATCTAGTTGGAATAGACTCTGCTACTTCAAAACAGAGGGCCAAAGAGATAGACATCAGACAATGGCTGTGAGTTTCACCAATTCAGATATTCCTCTGGGAGTTTCAGCATCCTCCCCATCCCGCCCCC